AGCTGCCTCCTGCACACCCCCCACTGGGGACATTGCCCGCAACCAAGGCACATGCCCCTGACTGGAATCGAGCCCAGGACCCTTCAGTCCATAGGCCGACCCAAACAGGTCAGGGCCAGAGAAACACATCTATTGGTTGCACCCAAGGTACATGCCCTTGACCAGGATCAAACCTGGGACTCTTCAACCTACGCTCTACTCGCAGCCAAACTGGCTAGGGCTGGGCAGCTTTATTGAGACAATATTGATCCTTGAAAAGGCCCAGAAAACCTGTCAGAATGTGTGATGCAAAAAATGAAACTAAAATGATACTTTGTTTTTTTTATCCTCAAAGTTGGTTTTCTAATTGCATAGCTGAATGAACAGAAGCCCATGCAAGTCTAAATGTTTTTTAAAATCCTTATGTATTTGTGAATTATAATAAAGGTGACTATATACTTACTAGTGTGGTTTCTTTTTTCATATGGGAGTGTGTGATAGCCAAAGATAGTGTTCCACAATGGAGTGCTATAGCAATTAATGCCTGATTAGTTGCGCCCTAAAGACCCTAAGCTTTTGTCTTGAGCTCTTCGTGTTTAGCTTTATATAGTTCCCTGGCTAGATCTCATTTTCATTAAGTAGTTGGATACCTGGTTAAAATTTAAAATCTGGGTAATGCTTCACCTACATTAGCAATTATAAGATTTGTTAGGAATGTTACAATCCTACTGCTGTTAAGCTAGTTAAACCTAGACAACTGGTGTCCAAGTGGCAAGCCCTTAAGCCTGGAAGACCACTGCCATGGATGATGTGAGGTTGGGTCACAATGGAAGCTTTGTCAAGCCCTTGTACAGATTGCCAGGCTTGTAGGGATGGGATGTAATAGGCCCTGAAGGATGGAGACCATCTAGAAGGTAGAGTCGATCCTGGTGCGTGGGGTTCAGATAGCCATTAAGCCATTTAGGGGCCTTTGTGGTCAGATTTAAGGGAAGTGTGTATTTGGGGTTTGGGTGGTGGGTTTGGCCAAATTGTGTGGAATGCCCAGATAGAGTTTCACAAATGGTATTCAGGGCCAGAGGATAATAGATTTGGGAATGGGAGCTATTTCCTGTAGCCGTAATTAGGGAGAGCACGGCTTGTTGGCTTTTTGAACTGATAAAGCAACATGTAGATGGTCTGCTTAAACTAGTTGCACTTGCAATAATACTTAGTTCTAAGTATTTGCATATATTAATCCTCACAACTCTGAAATGGGTATTAATCTAACCCAGTTTCAGACGGGAAAACTCTAACAAAGATTCCATTGTCCAAATTCACAACTGGAAGTGGAACCTGCACAAGAGCATCAACCCCCTGCAGGCTTCCTGGCAGCGAGCCAGATGTAAGGCAGGGTCCTGTTTACCCCAGGACCAGCCAGTGCTGACCTCTCAGCTTGGTGTCATTACCACATGCCGTCTTTGGAAAGTAGGGGCTCAGTATAGTGTTCGCTTTTCCCTTCACCCAGAGAAAGATCTTAATGATTCGCACCAACTTCTCAGGATAGGGCTGGATAGCTAATGCTAGACAGGAAATACCTGTATTCATTTCTCGATGTGCAAGTGGAGCTGAAGCAAAGCTGTCAGCGGGTATTCTAGGCCCCACCCTTTCTGCTAAATTTCATCTTGCACTATACCTGTCTAGACTCTCCAAACAGGCTTTTCTGGCCTTTTCTGCACATAGGCAGTCATACCGATGGTTGCCAAACGTGGAGTCATGCTGCCTAGGTTTGGATCCTGATACCAACAGTTTCTGTGCATGTGACCTTGGGTGAGCCACTTAATCTCTGCAATTTCCTCATGAAATTGGGAATAAAAGAATGGGGATATTCAATGAGTTAATATTTGTAAATGCTTCTTACAGTCTCATAAGTACAATGAACTTCTTAAAGAACATTTTGTGACCACCTGGTATTGCAGGCACAGCACCAAAGAAATACCTAATTTGTTGGTAATCCTCACCTGAGGATATTTTCCCATTGATTGATTTTTATGTATTTATTTATTTATTTTAGAGAGAGAGTGGAACGGATGGGGAGAGAGAAAGAGAAAGGGCGATGATACATTGGTTGCCTCCTGCACTAGCCCCTCTGGGGGCTAGTGATCCGAGCTTGCAACCAAGGCTTGTGCCCTTGACCAGAATCCAACCCAGGACCCTTCAATCCTCAGGCCAAAACATCTAAATATTTAAAGATTTCTAAACAGGGCAAGGTCTCCCAGCAGTGGTTTAGGGAGACTAACCTGGGATATTGGTGGGATGAAATGGAGGGGAAGAAATGAGAGGAGCAGAGTCCAGGACAGTGGTGCTTTTGATCAGAGGGGCAGAAATAGAAACATGAAGAGAGGAGAGGGAGGAAGCGGCAAAGCATTTAAGGTTTGAATCTATTTCTCAGAGAACCTTAACTTTGGCTGGAAAGATGAAGTCGGGGTGGTGTCTAGTTCCATGGGTGATGAGTCACAGGGCTAGAGCTGAAGGGCTGAAACTTCCAGTGGAGGGCAGATGGATTGCCCTTTCAAAAAGTGATAGCTCAGCCCTGAACAAGAATTCTGCCCCCTCTACCACTTGTAGGATGACTCCAGAGAAAGTCCCTAACCACTTTGAACCTCGTTTTTCCCATTTTACAACTGTCATGAGGTTTTTGTGAGGAACAAATGTGCTAAATAACATGGGTGGGAATGTTTCTGCAGTGAACAAAGTAAAAGGTTTTACAAAATAGGTGATAATAATCATTTTTATAATTACATTAAGCATGCGAATGAGTTAAGAACTTGGAGGAAGACAGCAGAGAGAGATCAGAGATCCCAGAGCTTAAACTTGGAGAAATTTCAGGGTACTACATCATCCAGAGGAGGAGTCCGTGATGGAGGCAGAGGTAAACTTGAAGAGGTAAGAGACTCAAGATGGGGAGTGCCCTCTACTCCATCGAAAAAGAAATTCAGTTGGTAAATACTCATCAAAAGTATCTTATCTGGTTATGATAGAATGACTTTCAGAGTCAGAATCAACATAAAATGGAGAAAATATCCTTCTGCAGAGGTCACTGCCCTGATCTGGGAACCCCCCAGACAACCAAATGGCCAGAGAAGTCACCTCAGGGAACACCTGAAATCTTCAAGAACTGTGTCCACTGAGTGTGTTAACAAGAGAGGGTCGTCCGCTTGGTACCTATTTTCCTTTCCCAGCCCCCAACCCCAATTCACATCCAGTTCAAATGGTCTCCCTCACTCGATTTGCTTCCCCCAAGTCCATTCTCCATTCTGTTGGAAAACAAAAACCTACTCATGTGGTCAAATCCTTTCACAGTTCCCCACTGCCTCGGAATAGAAGCTGCTTCCTTAGGCATAGACCGCGCATCCCTGGCCCAGCCCTCCTGCTCCAGCGCTCTCCCCTGCCACTCCTGCAGGCACATCTGCTCCAGTTAGACATGTTCCCCACACCACCCTAGGCTCTCATCGCTCCCTGTCATTACAAGGGAGGCTTCTCCGCGTTAACATGGAAAGCATTTCTTAAGTCCCAGGCTGAGCCAGATGCCCCTGGACGTACCCTTGCCGTAACTCTGTTGGTCTGATTTCTCATGTTTCTCCAACAGAGAACCTCTTGAGAACAGGGACGAGCAGTATCTCTTTTGTCTGTACAGTTCCTATCACACAAACAAACCCTGTTTTCCCATAAACCAACCCTGTTTTCAAGTGGTCTTTCTGGTTGTTAGTCCACTCGTCCCGATTTGGGGTCTCCAAAATGTACCCACACTGTACTTGCGGAGTACAGGTGGGGAACCTGGTCTAGAGCTCCCTGTGAGGAGCGTGTCCCTTGCACTTCCCGGGGCGGCCGCCAGGGGCCGCCGGGCTCTTTGTTTTCCTCCGTGGCCCGGGTCAGGGCGGCCCGAGGCCCGCAGAGCGCATGCTCTGGGGCAGTTCGCGGCCCAGCCGGCGAGCGGAGGAATCCTAGGA